GCAAAAATCTAAATCTTCTGTAGCCTCAACTAAATTTATCCTTTGGTTTAAATTTTCCAAACACAAATCTTGGCAAATCAACTGCTATACATGTCTACATGATTTACTTAACAAGTATTGAATACTTATTATTTGAAAAGTATCATATTAACTGTTGTGAAAACCTCAAAGATTAATAAAATGTAATTCTTATTTCAATATTATAATATTTAACATAGTAGCTAATAGAAAGGATAGATATGTATATTACAATTAACTACTGTCTCAATATCCAGAGATAAGGACTACCAATAATTTCTTATTTATTCTTTTAGAAATAGTTACTGTAGGGGGCCTGGGGCTGTAGTTCAGTGGTAGAGCACTTGCCTAGCATGTGTGAGGCACTGGGTGCGATTCTCAGCACCACATACAAATAAATAAAATAAAGGACCACCAACAACAAAAAAATATTTTTAAAAAATAATTCTATATCAAAAACTCTCCTTAAAAAATGAGGAAGGGGCCTGGGGCTGTAGTTCAGTGGTAGAGCACTTGCCTAGCATGTGTGAGGCACTGGGTGCGATTCTCAGCACCACATATAAATAAATAAAATAAAGGACCACCAACAAAAAAAAAAAAAAAAAAAAAGGAAAAAGAAAAAAAAATAGAAATAGTTACTGTAGGGAACAGTAGTTCAAGCTTGTAATCCCAGTAGCTCAGGAGGCTGAGACAGAGGATTTCAAGTTCAAAGCCAGCCTCAGCAACTTAGTGAGGCCCTGAGCAAATCAGCAAGACCCTGTCTCTAAATAAAATATAAAAAAAGAGCTGGGGATGTGGCTGAATAAGGTTAAGTGCCCCTGGGTTCAATCCCTGATACCAAAAAAAAGGTTACTGTATGCATACATATATGTTTGTATATGTATTATACATACATATTGCATACATATTTATTTTCAAGCATATACTTATTTTATACACACATATAGTCATATTTATGCTCACATATTTTTAAAAGGGATATAACAGCATCTTTCTTTCTATATAATAAAAAAATGTTTTGCATATCACCTCACAAAGAGTTATGCCATTTTAAAACAAGAATGCATAGTAATATACTGTAATTTAGATAACCAGCCCTTTATTAGTGGGCATTTAACTTGTTCCTAGATTTTGCTATTACAAATAATGTTTTGGTGAACAACCTTGTAAACATATTTTTGTATACCTGTGCAAGTATATTTGTAGGGTGAACTTTTAGAAGTGAAATTATCAGGAAGGAGTCTCTTCAAGTCTTCTGCAGTCTTATTTCTATGAAGCAGAGCCAGGAGGTGGTGTAGATAGTTATAGTTTCATAAACATTTCTCTGTATTCCTCCAAAATCTCTCCAATTTTAGAAGCTTGTGATTCAGTCCCACTGTTTCCTCCTGACCTCCTTTCCTGGTCACTCTTACTCTCTAAAGTATTTAGCTCTGGCTTACTGTCCTCCTTTTTATTCCTTCTCTTTTCAAGATATTCGGTGACTCTGACATCAATGTAGATTACTCGTCTCACATCCTGGTCTCCTCCCTTACACTGATTTTTTTATTCCATCCCCTGTAATCAATCACCTACATTCTTGATTATATCCAACTCTTCATTACAAGAATCTTCAATTTAACACCTCTTTGTCTAATAACCACCTCTCAATTTTTAACTTAACTACAAAATGCCCTAATATAATAACTCTGTGACTTCATCACTGATACTTTTTTCACTATCCAGTACCTTCTTTCTGTTTCCATTTTCCAAAATGCTGGCTAAACCAAACTATCTCCCTTCTTTACATTTAACCCAGAGTAACTAAAAGTTGCTGGATAAACCACACAACCAGGCTCACTACTGTAAATTAATGACCACTAATAGGCACTCTACCTTGCCCAGAAGGTCTACTTAACATTCCCCTGACAAGTCTAATTCCTAGCCTGCAAGATGACAACTTCATAATGTTTTCTGTTTTCACCCCCTCCCTTAGCTGATAATCTGACCATCATATTTTACAGAGAAAAATCAGACAGGATGAGCCCATGTTCTCATGATCAGAACTATAAACCTAAGGTGGCTGGGTACGGTGGCACATGCCTACAATCCTAACAACTCAGGAGGCTGAGGCAGGAGGATCACAAGTTCAAAGCCAGTCTCAGCAATTTAGTGAGACCTGTTTCAAAATAGAACATAAAAAGGGCTGGGGATGTGGTTCAGTGGTTGAGTGCCCTTGGGTTCAATCCCTGATACCAAACAAACAAACAAAAAATGAACTACAAACCTGGTGTAACTATACACATTGTTTTCTCTCCTGTTAAAATGAAAGTACCTTTGCCACTATCAAAGGCAATTCCTTTGTGCTCTAGATACCCTAAGGATTTTACTTCAGCAGCTCTTCTTCATCATTTATTTTTCCTCCTCTATTGGATAACTCTCAACAGATTACAAACATGCTTTGGAATCTCTCTTTTGAACTCACAATCTCTTAGATACCCTCCTATTTCTCTGTCTCCTTTATGCAAAACTTCTTAAAAAGTGTTACATATAAATGTCTCCATTTTATTTTATATCCTGTAAACCTAATTTGGCTTCTAACCTCACTGAAATGTAGGAATAAGAACATCAAAGACCTTCTTTATATTGCCACCTTGATAGGTTCTTTACTTCCTTCACCTTCTTACATTCCCCGCTCACTCGATGCCTTTCTGACCAGGTTCTCCTGGACTCCCTTCTACCACTCTGGCTCCTTTCCTCCAGACAGTGTGTGACCCCACTGACCTTCTTCTCTCTCTCTATGCTTTCTCCTTAAGTAATCTTATCTAATCCTGTGGCTTAGGTATCACTAATATCTTGTTAACTCTCAATTCAGCATGATATTTCTATTTGGTTAATAGGCATCTCCAATTAACAAGACTGAGCCTTATTCTTGGCTTCTTTTACCTTTGTTCCATCAATCTATACCACTAAATAAATCTATGGATTCTATTTTCTTCCTCAGCCTCCTATCCAACCCACTTTGATTTCTGACTTTTATAGACATCTCCTCCTTCAATTTTTTGCCTTCAAGAATCCACTTGCTCCACAAAGTGAACTTTAAAAACATAATTCAGTTCACATTGCCTACATGCTTCAAGTTCTTCAACGGCTTCCTATAATATATTAAAATAAAAAATTAAACAAAAACTTTTAACCAGGGCCTACAAGGCCCTCTGTGATCCAGCTCCTATTTATCTTCTTCAATTTCCTCCTTCCTTACTCTACTCTAGCCACACAGGGCTTCCTTCTGGCTACCTACCTGCCAAGTTCTCCCTTTCTTCAAAGACTGTGATCTGGTGTTGCCTCTGCTTGGGATGCTCTTTCTCCTAACCAGTATGTGACTGGCTTTCTTGTGATTCAAAACTCATTTTAAGTATCACTTCCTCAGAGAGGCTCTCTCCATCTATAGTAGTTCTCCCCACTTCCACAGATACTTTGCAGCTTATTATCCTATTCACATCCTAATAGCACTTAGGTTTTTTTTACTTATTTGCTCCGTCTTCTTCATTTTAGTTCCTTGAGGGTAGGTATCTTTTCTTTCCTGCCACTTCTGTATCCCTAGCATCTAAAACAGTTAACATATTGAAGGCATTAAATGAGCATCTGTATAAAAGAGTGAAGTGATTGAATTATTAACTATACACATATTTAGACTATAGTGACACGCTAACAGATGCCAACAATTGATAAATGTGAATTTTGGATGAACAGCATTATTTTGAGCTTTGTTTGGGCATGAACCATGAAACTTAGAAAGGTTTGTTGTTGTGCACTAATCATACACAATATATTCTTCCAGCCTATGGTTTCCCTCTAGCAATGAGTAGCTGATTTCTTCTTCAGCAATTCTTATATAAATATTATAAGCAAATTAATATTTTTCCTTTATTCAAATTAATTAAAAGTCTCAACAATAGAGTTACATTTTTTTGAAAATCCTCTCAGACAAATATCTTGGATTGGTGTTCATTCTTCCCACTTAGTTGAGATTTCTGAATCTTGATGCCAAGGACATTAAACATTTATTTGAATGAATGTACTCTCTTAATTTAACATCGCCTTTCAACCTTGGATTTTAAAAAGATGATCTTTTTTCTGTTTTGTATCAATTATAGAGATTTTTTTAAAAGGGACAGAGTGAAGAAATGCATTTCATCATATAAAAGAGTCATCTCTGAACCTCAAAACATTTTCCCTTTTCAGAAATTCATTTTTAAAATACTACCCCGCCCAAGACTCTTAGATTATTAGTAGCTGAAATAACAGAAGAATTATACTATTAATATAAAATTTTCACATTAAACTGCCCGATAGAGTTCAGCTATATATAGTAGGTCCTGCATAACATGCGGTCCAAATAACAAATATAGGAATGTATTTTTAACTAGTAGAATTTGTGTATATTTAAAATTTCAGGCTGATATAAGTAAATTGTTCTGGACATATTTTATATTTATTAAAACTTATTACCTACTGGATTGAAATTACAATTAAAAGAGAGCCTATCTCTTTCTCCTTTGTAACACATGGCTTTTGTTAATTAGGTCTCTCAGGTTGTGTGCTGGCCACATTTGGCAAAGTCCAGTCCTCACCAAAAATAGTAACAACCTGCTCTGGATGGCAATCAAGCCCAGATCTATTTTTGGCTTTAATATTTGAAACTCCAAATGCCAGATGCCATAGAACTGAACCTTACATGGCATAAGTAAACTGGTCTGCTACTAAAACACAGAATATTAAGGATCGAAACCCTCCAAAAGACCCATCTCTTTATTCCCAAGTACATGTTTCAGGCTTACCAGGGGAATTCATATCTAATATTCACATATGTAAAACAAAAGATTAAAACTCAAGCAGAGGAAGGTGGACATGACATAACTTTGGTGTCTGTTCCTATCATTACTCTAAATGTCCTATTCTCAGAGTGTTTCTGTTTTTTATTATTAATATATTTGTTACCTTACCTGTCTCTGAGTGTGCTGGGGCCTAGATAAGGATAGAGGTTTTCCTTAAGCTTTCCTTTGATGAGATGGTCCAGGGTCTCATGTAGGAAAGGCTGATGCTGAGTATATACATTTTCTACTCCCTAAAACAGGGGAAAATGGTTCTTAGGTCATTTTGGGAAAACTAGCAATACAACAGTTTATAATACTCACATAAAAAAGGACATACGCTCAATAGATATTTCCTGGGATAGATTCAAATAGGAATTTTATGATATTTTAAAAGTTATTTTATTTCTTTGGGTGCATTGGCACATGCCTGTAATCCCATAGGCTTGGGAGGCTGAGGCAGGAGGATCGTGAGTTCAAAGCCAACCTCAGCAACTTAGCGAGGCCCTAAGCAACTGATCGCTACCCTGTCTAAATAAAATATAAAAAAGGCTGGGGATGTGGCTGAGTGATTAAGTGTCCCTGGGTTCTATCTTACTCAAAAATTTAATCAGAAATGTTCCAATCTCATAAAAATACTAAAATTAATGCTAACTATTATAAAAGAATTTTAAAACTGGAGTTGCTTAAATCTTTTATCATGTCTTTAATGAGTCTTGCTCATTTTGTTGTGAAAATGTTAAATGACAAATAAAGCAAATGAAAGGAAAGAACTGTAGAAAAGAAGATTGAAACATGGAAGAAAAAAGAAAGAAACTTCAGGAAACATGAGAAAGGCTAGCAAATTAAAACTAATTTTTGACCATTAAAAAAAATTTGGTTAGTATTTTTAAAAGATCAAAAATGTTTGCTTTCTCTTTAATGTCTTTCAAAGAGAAACTATCTAAATCCCAGATTATAAATAAATATGAAAAATAGCTGTAGTTAACAGAATTGTTTGTCTTTTTATTCTTGAGTACTTCCTGGAAATATCTTCAGCTATTTCCTGCTTGGCTATTTGAGCCAGTGCTGATACTACTCCAATAAAGGAAAGCACTGAAAGAAAAAGCTTTCAAGAGATTGCTGATATAATTTCATTTAACTGATCTAGTACTAAACCAGCAGCACTCCTGAAGTGAATTTGAAGATCATGTTCATGCACTTTCTGCCTTAGGGGCTTTGACCGTTTCTCAGCACAGAAGAGATGTCTATACCTTCAATCCTTTGAGGAACTGTTTGGTAATAGCCACAGCATCTTTGGGGCTAAAAAGGTCACTTCCTCTAACCCGTTTACCACCATATTCAACAACCGCTGACACGAGCTATAGAAAGAAGAAAATAGAAATTATCTTTTATTGCTTAGGGATCAGCAAGCCCATTTAATAAAAAATACCTTTATTAAGGAAATGAAGACATGACAAGACAGAATTATATAGTTCTATAAATAAAAATGGTATGATTTATCATTGGTTGGTGCTAAGAATATGACAGAACCAGTTCCTACTTATTGGGCTCAACATGTAAAATTGGTTACCTTTCGATACTTCTCAGAAACACCTTTATTCCTGAGGTCCACTATTAGTCCTGGCAGGCTGTTGCTGCTGTGCCGCTCATAGTGTAGAGCATAGAGCATCACCAGGCGAGCAGCATCAAACTCTGTCACTTTGGGGTTCTGTAGGAGCCTCTTTACATTCTGAAGGAAGAAGGAACTGATATTTATCCCCTTTCACATGAGTGATCTCTTGTATAATGGTTTAGAGTTAATAATTATTGAGTGATAGTGATACATCTGAATTCATGAGATGGCTATGATGACAATGCCCAGGTCTCAACTATAGAAAATTAACTGCTTTTTGCTCAAGATAAGAATTAAATAAGGAAACATATTCCCATTATAATTGCTTTAGAAAAAATGAATTTAATACTGGATTGTTCCTGTTTTCTAATAACCCAAGTTATCATTTCCTTGCTGAAATAAGAACAGATACTATTTTCCACCACTTTAGTCAATACGGCACACAGAACTGAGCAGTTGACTTGCAACTCTACTGCTTTCTCTTTGCTTTGATTAAACACTGAGACGAGTTGATAGAATTTTACACAGGACTAAACTTAATCCCCAAGAAACATCAGAAGTAACAATATGTCTCAAGATGGTAAAGAATGCAATCTCTAAATTGAGTATTTATGATCTTAAAGTATAGATACAGATAGCAAAAGGAGCCAAAAAAAAAAAAAACATGTTTAGATTTTTCCATTCTCACATTAAGGGTCTTCCATATGGTACAGATTTATATTTATTATACAGAACAAATAATTCCATTTAAGCAAAAAAAAAAAAATTTTTTTTTTAAGTCTCATCAGGCACTATGCCAGGCATTGTTAGGGAAACACAGATGAGTTAGAGTCAATTTCTGTCCTCAGCGAGTACACAGACAATGAGGTAAAGAGAGGTGAAATGAGCATAATCCATTCTGTTACAAAACATATCTAGTTAATGTACTTTAGCTTCACGAGAACAGTAAAAATAGTATGATATCAGAAGGCATGTTGAGTCACATGTAATTTTTCCAGCATGGACAGGCTTCCTGATGATTAAAGAAGCTTTATCAAAATTTTAAGAGAAAAAAAAAGATGACAATGCTACAAAAGTATTTTCTACAGGAAGGATCTGGTTTTAGGAGTTGCTGCACTTTCCACTGTTAAACTATCTGGAGAAGGAGCAAGTGCGAATGAAAAGGATTCAAAGACATTTCACTGTTAAAAATCAAAACAAAACAAAATGATGAGCAAAAATTGATGAATGAAGAAGGCTAACTCAAATGGTATTTTTAATTTTGATGAAATTAGTCTCCATGAGAAGCAAATGTCTTTAAGACCTTGGATCTGTTGGTGGTGGGGGTGGGGGTTTACAGGGGATTGAACTCAGGGGCACTCCACCACTGAGCCACATCCCCAGCCCTATTTTGCATTTTATTTATAGACAGGGTCTCACTGAGTTGCTAAGTGCCACACTTTTGCTGAGGCTGGCTTTGAACTCACAATCCTCCTGCTTCAGCCTCCAGAGCTGCTGGGATTATAGGCATGTGCCACTGCACCCAGCAATACCTTGGATCTTAAAGAAAACAGGAACCTCAGGAATAAGGCTGCGAATGTGGACTGGGTCAATTTCTATGTGCAAATTCCAGTGGATATTTCCTTTGCTAGTATTTTTATTAGGATTGTCACTATTTTTATTAGTGCTCTGATTACAAAGTTATATAGATTTATTTTTTTTAGGTTTTTAAGTGGTCTGCTTATAACCGTATTTTCCCATAATCTGTTTATTTTTAATGCATGATTTTGTAGAAAATAAGAGTTTTCAGGAACAAATATGTGGCATTATAGCAGACATATATGTATAGAAAACAGGCTGAAAATCAGTGCCATGGGGAGGGGAGAAAAGACAAAAATAAAGTACATCTGATTGTTGAGGAAACAGGAAAGACTTCAATGGAGGTGACATGTGCAAAAGAATCAGTAACAGTTGGAATTGGTGTAAAGGAATGAAAGCAGTGTCATCCCGAACAGGAATGTGAAAGCAGAGGAAAGAACGTGAGAGTGGCAAGCACCTGGGAGGGCACCGGCTTCTGAGGACATGACAACCCCCGTCTGTGTGGCACTTTATAATGTATACGATGCTGTCATACACATCATTCTTTGGTGACCCACAACAGCCATGTCCAACGTCTAAGAATCTCTCTGTACATAACGAGTAGCGTAGCGACGAGGATGATAATGGGAGTCTCCCCAGGAGCTCTCAAGTAGAAAGTTCTCTGAGAGGGACTCCTGTTGTGGCTTTTCTGGTTAATATTTCATTATCATCATCCTTAAGAGACTAAAAAAGGAAGAAATTTCTCCTTTAGACCCACATTCATAAGAAAATTTAATTTTTTCTCCCTTTGTCGTATGTTTTCCACAGAGCAACCATGGAATACAGCTTATTTAAAATACGTGCTCAAGTGTTCTACTATTTTCTATCATAATATAAAGACATGACAGGGTACAGTTTATTCTTCAAGTATTTATGTACAACTTCACATCTATTTTAATCAACTGGGCATAAATTTAAAACATAAATAAATCCCACCTTGGAATCTCTATTGTCACTTTTCTTACAGGCACAATGTTTCATTTCCTGCCCTTGCACTCTTTCACGTATAATCTGCTCAATTTCTGGCTGACCTTTAAAACAAATCTGAGATGAGATACCCATGTAACTATAAACCCAGATAACTGGCATTAAAAAGTTAAAGACTATTTGCAGCAATCAGTTAATACCCTTCCTGCTTCCTTCCTTCCTAATTACCTTCACTTGGATCTTGACTCTGGGTTCTGTTTCCCATTTAAGAATCCACTCCTCCATTTGTGCACAATGTATCAAAATGCATTCTACTGTCCTGTATAACTCATTAGAACAGATTAAAAAACATAAAAGAATCCACTCCTATTTTCTTGAGATATGGTACTGGTATGTAGATTCAAAAACTTTGTGTAGGTCTAATCAAGAAACAGGAAAAGAAAAGCAAAAATACTGTATTTAGAGGTAAAGTTTCCAAAAGGCACTAACATCCACACATAATGAGAAAACAATTATTTTCTAATATTTAGAGATTCTTTCATTGTTTCTAGCTGACTGCTTTTTGTTTTCTTCTATTAAAACTGATGAATCAGCACAGAAAAAGAAAAAACTTTTGTATGACATACATACATTATACAAATTACAGAGTACTCAGTAATGAAAGAATCTCCTTCCCCGACACCTCGCCACTTTAGTTTAACCTAAAGAACAGGATTCCTTCCTTGCTAACTACCATCACAATAATAATAGTAAAATAGTTAATGAATAAGTAACTAAAGTAATAGATTAGGGCCAGGTGCAGTGGTGTACCTGTAATCCCAGCTGCTTGGGAGGCTGAGGCAGGAGGATCACAAGTTCAAAGCCAGCCTTAGCAAAAACGAGGCACTGCGCACTCAGTGAGACCCTCTCTAAATAAAATACAAAATAGGGCTGGGGATGTGGCTCAGTGGTCAAGTGCCCCTGAGTTCAATCCCTGGTATTATAATCATCATCATCATCATCATAATAATAGATTAGGATATAAAGATGAAATTGGCAGAGGTATTCAATATGTTGATCTGATAAAAATGAGTCTGATCTAGCAGTGTTGTAGAACAATAAAGAGCTTATTTAGGAAAAATAATAGAAAGTAGTCAGAACCCAATACTACTGACTGATAAATACATGTGAGTCAGTATTATTTTTCTTAATGACTGGCTAACATAAAATTTAGCTTTCTAGTAGATCTCCTGAGGGTCAACATTATTTCTGAAATACTGGTTAAGTGGTGGTTTAGAGAAAAAAGGGTCATTTTTACTCTTAATTGATTAAAGTAAAATGGTCCAATGTGTTCCAAGCAGTTTTATTATAATTTTACAGAAAAACCTTTCTGAAAGTGGGGAGTGATCCAAAGTCACCTGTGGATTAAAAAAACATGTTCTAAATCCCAGAATGAAAATAGAATGTACCATCAAATAATATTAAGATTAATGGTGACAATATTTGTTGAAAATTTTAAGTACCTGGTACATATTAAGTGTTTATATGTATTAGCACATTATATCCTCACCACAATCTTTGAATTAAGTACTGTTATTTCCCCACATTCAGAGATAAAGACGGGGGCTTAGGGTAGTTAAGAATCATTTCCAAACTCAAGTCATCAAAAGTCCAAGCTTTAAGCCACCATTCTATATTGCTTTAAAAAGGATTCATTCTCCTCATTTTTCTAATAAATATTTATTGAGTTTTTACCATGTGTCATTAACAGTATGATTTGAGATCTTTCATGCAAGATCAGGAAAAAAGGATATAAAATAGACCAGTTCCTCCTCCCAAATAAAAAGTTGTGATATGACAACATGGGTGGGACTGTGGGAGTAGGGTGGGGATTGCTCACTTTCTGCAGATGTTTCTCTTAATGATATGAAAAATCTTCATTACTAATCACATCGATCTCTTTTTTTGAGAATATGGATGTGCTTCAATAGTAGTACACTGCACTTTGGTTCTGGTAAAATTCTTTATAAATCATATTTTTGTTAACCTGTAGGATAGAAGGGGCAGCAATTTATAGGTTAATTTTTAGCAATGTATGAGCTTTTCTTTTTCTAACCATGATATGCTTACTAGTCAATAAAACAACCCATCTCTACTCAAAACCTCAATTCATTGCTTCATGACGTATTATTCTCTAAGGTCAAGCCAAGGAATGCTATAGCCATTTAGGGATCAGGCCCCTGGCATCTACTGACTATCAAACAAAAGTTCCCTTTATAGACTATTTAAATCATGTTGCCAAAGAAATCCTTTATGGTGGGAGAGTCCGAATCTACTGCTTACTGTAAAACCCCAATACCCTGGACAAGAAAGTCTTCAAAAGATAAGTTTTAGAAATAAAAAGTAGATCGGAAATCAGGTTCACATTTTTAAATATCTACTTTTAAAGTGAACAAAGTTTCAAAGAAGGAATTACAATAATTTTTCTAACTGCTTTCCATATGATAGAGAGATACAAATAAAGACACTGAAATTGGCTAGTGATAAAGCTTTGATATTTTTTTTTCCTTTCCACAATGAGGACTGAACCCAGAAATGCTCTACCTCTGAGTTATACCTCCAGCCCTTTTAAAATTTTATCTTGGGACTGGTCTCCCTAAGATGCTCAGGCTGATCTGGAACTTCCAATCCTCCTAACTCAGCCTTCAAGGTGCTAGGATTACAGATATGTACCATTACACCTGGCTAAATTTGGTTCTAACCTTTTAAAAAGAAAAATCAAGTGATAAATATAAGAAAAATTATATTTGGTTATTGGAAAAAGTTTTGTTTTTATTTAATAAGAGGCAGAAAGCTCATTTTATTGAGATAAAGATAGGAACACTTCTATTAGGCCTACAAAACAACTAAAAACTATTAGTAGGGTTGTTTAAAATAAATTGGCAAAGTTAAACAGGTTTTTTAAAAAATATTTTTTGTTTGTAGGTGGACACAGTACCTTTATTTTATTTTTATGTGGTGCTGAGGATCTGACCCAGTGCCTTACACATGAGAAGTGAGCGCTCTACCACTGAGCCACAACCTTAGCCCTGGTAAAATAGATTTTAATACATTTTTTTATAAAAGATACTATTTGGTGATTAAATTGAAGGAGACTTTAGGTTCTGATATGAAACAGTCTCTGAGATACAAAGTTAAAAACAAAACAAAACTGTCGGGCACTACAGTTGTAGCTCAGCAGTAGAGCGCTTGCCTCATATGTGTGAGGCAGTAGGTTCGATTCCCAGCACCACATTTAAGTAAGCAAATAAAATAAAGGTCCATCAACAACTAAAAAAATATTTTTAAAAAATGCAGAATTCTGTGTCTAGTATGGTAACATTTTAATTAAAACACATACACACACACACACACACACCAAGCCTTGCATATACATGGAGAAGTGAAAGGATGCATATAAAACAATAGACTCAGTTTTCACTATACACCCCTTTTACCAAATACTTATATCACTATTAAAATAATGTCAGTCTAAAGAACAGAGTCCTTCATGAAGATTTAGAAACACGGGGACAAAATAAAACAATGATAGAGAAGCACTTTACATAAAAATAAAATATAAAGCAAATAGCAACTTTATAATTTTCAAAATGAAGGTGTTTTCTGAGAAATCTTGATAAACATTTTAAAAATTTAAAACTAAAAAATAAAAATCTCAATAAAGATTTTGATATAACAGAGTACCCATAGGTAGGTTTCCTTCTTTTGATTATACCATGCAAAAAATATTATGCTTAGAGGAAGGGAAATAATATTTACAAAGCACCTATCATATATGAAACATTTTATTATCACACTGATTCTTTATAACAATCTTAAAGTTTGAAATCACTATCTTTAATGCTTGGACAAAATAAGGAATTTTTCCCAAAAAACTTTGGCAAGTAGAGATAAGATACCAGCCAGGACAGCCTGGCTCCAAAGCCTGTAATGTTTCTGATATACCAGACTGGGTTTATTTTATGAAATCAAGTAGAATTGCAGTGGGAAAAGTAAAACTAAGTTTTAGCATATAAAATCCTATTATTGAGGAAACGTGCTTCTTACAGGTGGCTTAGAAATTATTATCTCCCAAAGGACTCACTCCTAAATTAATTGTTGGGGACAACACTTTTTTTTTTTTTTTTACTCATGAACCTTAGAATTACGTCTGATTTGTTCTTTCAATCCTTACGTCCAATCTGTCATTTAATTGTTTTCTCCCTTTGTAATGTCTCTTAGATTTCCCCTTATAATACATTGTCATTAATATCACGATAAGTCTACAGCCTCTCAGTTTTTTCACCATAATGCATCCTCACTAGGTTAAAACACTGCCTTCATAACATCAACTTTCTACATAAGATCTGCACTGGATCTCTTGCCTATCTCAGCAAATATAAACTCCTCTTACTAGCTTCTTTATAAACTGATTCCTGTTTATCAATCCAACTTCATCTTCTCTTTCTCTTTCACGCCCACTCTCAACAAGTGAAGCTATGTATTATTTCCTGCATACTTATGCATCTTTTCTTTTGCTGTTATTCCTGACTGAAATCCTCCTCTAAATTCTATTCATTCTTTTGGTTCATCTTCATATTGCCCTCACTAAGAAAGTCTTCCTAATAACTTAAAATCCTATTATAGTTAGTATCATAATTTTAACTTAATATTATCTTGAAACATTATTTATTTCTTGTGCTTTAGTTTTGTCTAATTTAATAATAAACATCATTTATCTCTTTTACTTTAGTTTAGTTTTATAGTAGACTATAAATTTAGTTTTATAATTGACTATAAATTTCTTGAGGTCAGGGTATGATTATGTCACTTTTCTTCTAAAATCCTCTGGTAGATCTCATCATTTTAAAATTAAAGCTCAACCTCATTTCAATGGCCATAATTAACCCTAATATGTCTGTCTAGTTTATCTAAAACCTCTCCTCAGCTTCTATTCCTACACTAGTTACACTGAACTACTCTCTGTTTATACACACACCCCTCCATGTTTGCATACTCTTTGCTGAGAATGTTCCTCCCTTCGCTCGGCCTGGTGCACTCCTAGTTATTTAGCTGTCCAGACCCAGTTTTCATGTCACATTTCTCTAGGAAGTTTTAATAAGCCTCACCCTTGTCTTTCCTCTGTATTTCCAAACTCTTTTGGAAGTACCACTATTATAGCACTTACTGCATGGTATTATAGTTCCTTACCTCCCATAATGTGAGCATACTGAAGAAGGGGATGGTATCTATTCATCTCTGTACTCTTAGATCCTCATAGCAGTATGTGCATATAAGAGGCATTCACATGTTGTGGAATGAAAAGCAATCTTCAATAATTTTTTAAAAACTTAGATAATGCATTTTATCTGTCAAGGTCTTCTTAACAACCCTGTGAAACAAGTATTATTATATCCATTTCACAAATGAGAAAACTGGCTTAGAGATTAATTCAATAGCTCCAGGTCACAAAGCCAGTAAGTTGTAAACCAAACACTAATATCCAGAACTTAATTCTAGTCTACTGCTCTTTCTAGTTAATGAGGCTGCTCTCATAAATACTCAATTAACTGACTGAACCTTGGGGACTGCACTTTATACTTCTTCTGTAGCTCTTATAATATCTATCTTAATATCTTAATAATGTTCATTTGTGTCCTTGCCTTAACTTCTTGATAAATGGAATTCCACGTTGATGAAGAAGGTACTTGCCTTTGCATCTCTTGCTCTGCCTGGCACAGTGTCTTACACATAGTGGGTGCTCATCAAATTGGACTGACCTGAAGAGCACTAGAATGGTCATTTTGACAGGCCAGTTCTTGCTCAACCTCTGAAACCTCCAGCAGATTCCGCTCACTGACCAACCGAGACAGTTCTCCAACCACTGTCACATGCTTTGATACAGTCCCAGACATCTTTTTGAACTGTGGATAATTCTCAACAAAGGCCTGCCATGATAAAACATCAATAGGAAAGGTTCTGTTACTTTTTGACTGAGAATAGACATATATGAAGAAGGAATAATAATAATTAAAAAATCCAGGAGTTGTTTTTCTGCACAGGCTAAGGCTCCTACAGCTCTCTATCATACAGCATTTTGTGATGCTTGAGAGAAAAACTGATGTATGGCAATAGACTACTAAACAACAGAAAGAAGCACAAGGCTTATTATGAACTTCTCACTATATTTTTTACTAAAGAGACACATTACAGAAAATGTCTCAACAAAACCAGATGAACCAAGATAGAAATCAGGCCCAGAAATTCCAAGAATCTTGTTTACGTGAATAATTCCAAAGTGTCACATGTAAGTCAACCACGTGTGTATTCAATTTACCTTCATGTCTGCTATTGATTCTAGTTTTTGCTGTTCTTTTGGTTTCTTCTTCTGGAAGTCTTCCATGAGATTCTTTATATTGCTGCCAATCTCTGCAAAGTTCAGGTACATATTCTGTGAAAAAGGAAGTTGGAAGACAGTTCATGAACTAGTCTTTCAGATAATTTAAAAGAAGTGAAAAAGAATCCTGAATACAGAATTGAAGGGAAAATTCCATTTTAATTACCAAATTTGGACATTAGCCAGGAGACCAGTGATGAATACCATTATTATTCTCACAAAGAGCCACTGGAAGGGAAGGAAGTAAATAACTATGTGATATCTATGGAAAAAAATTATTTTAGAGGATCAGAATCCAAGTCTTTTGCATTCCCTTGAGATGCAAAAAAATGATGCTTCTATCATTTTTTTTTACATGAAATCCCATACCTGTCCCCATTCTAACAAGTCAATATTGACCTTGTTACATAAAAACAAACAAAATTTTAAAAATTTAACACCACCTACATTAGCATAGAATTCATCATTTTCAGCAGACAGAACCACCTCTCTTAAGTCTTTACTAATCCCCGGCACTCTGGAAAGATCAATCCGATTGTTGTTTATGCCTAGTAGTTCATGAACCATGGCCTGATATGTCCACTAAATAAAGAATTAAGACAAAAAAAATGGTTATTAACAAAACATGAATATAGTACATATTCAGGTAAATAAGTAAAATTGATAACATTCTTAAGTAACTAGTCTGCTTACATGAAGATTCTCTATTTTGTTCAAATTTTATTAATAGTTTATGCTATAATAAGCATTAAGATTATCATTTTAATTGGTTAAACACCCAAAAGTCAAAATACTTTTAGATTTCACACTTTTGGAAGAAAGACAACAAGATTAATATTCTTGATAGAAAGAAAACAAATTATATTTATCATTAGCTCTAATTTTCGCCTGTGAATTGAGTATATTTTTGGCTTCACAGACAGGGCTATATCGGTACTGCAGTGACAAGCTGTGCCATTTCCTGTACGCTTCTGTGGTTTTCTGCAGCACGAGAAGTGTGTTCTTGCAGATCTGAGAGATGCTATATTTATCCTGGGAACACTAATATTATCAGAAGAAACCTTGTGAGTTGGTCAAAACACTGGCATATTCAGAAAACTTGCCTCTCAATCCACTTTGTTTTATATTTTTACCTAGTACAAATTACAAAGAAGATTGGTACTCAAATGTAAATTCATCTGGTAAAACTGAAAAGAAAACACTTGCAAATTTTGCCTTCTCACCACTAATGGAGAATGGATTACTTCTGTCATAAGTCCATTATATAAAACTAAATATTTCCAGCATGTTATCTTTTAAATCTAGAATTCAAATGCTAAAATTTTTATATAAATATATTTTAGCTCAAACAAACTAGATTTATTAATAAATAACTTATAAATTAACAAAAGAAGGTGCTTTATTTCCTAAAACATTTGCCAAAGGAACCTTTAATAAAGCAAGTTCCATTAGGGCATTTAAAATAAGTATAATGTCATGTTTCGTATTTGGCTCTACCACACCACCTTATGCTGTATTTAAAGCCATGTGATTTCTGCTTTCCGCCTTGGGCCACTGAATTTTTTGAAGGCAAAGACTGTATCTCCTGACCTTTTATCTTTAGTACTTAGTTTAGTGTGTGGCACATAATAGATTCTTAGTGAAAATTGTTGAACAAATGGTTGCTTTACTTTGTGAGACAGAATTATAGGCAATTATTTTTCTTTCTAACTTTTTATATTATCAAAGATTTCTTTAGTAAACATATGTTACTTTCAATTTTAGAAATACAGGATTATCTTATACAATAAAGAAGTTTCCACAGCTACAGATTTCTCTTAGCATCAACATTATAAGCCGGGCAGAAACTGAAACAGATTCTGCTTTTCCTTATAAATCCAAAGTCATTATTCATGGAGCACCTACTAAGTGCAAGGAACTGTGCTTTTACTTGAAAGAAAATAAACACTGGTGAGACACAGTTTGCCTGAGCAGATCATGTAATCCAGAGAAGGGTAAAAACAACCAAAGACAGAACTCATTGCAGGTCCAGATACAGTGGAGACACAATTCCACAGTGATTTTAGGGATAAAAGAACCTGTCTGAATAAAAGGACACAGTCTTCAAGAAGATGTTATGTGACTTTTGAGTGGTTTTGAGGGAGAAAATTCTGATAAATAAAGATGGGAAGAGAAGGTATTCCAAACATTTCAGAGTTTAGACAGTGGTCACAGCAAAAGCAAGATGTCAAGAAAACATGTGGTGTCTATGTAGCAGTGAGCTATCAGTTTTATATGAGGTTTAGTACACACTGTTAAGAAGCTGGTATGCCAAAGTCAGGGGTGCGTGTGTGTTGTTTTAACCCAGCAGGCAGATGGGAACCAATGAAGAGTTTTAGGCCAGAAATAATAGGATTGGAATTGGGCTTAGGAAAAATAATTCAATAACACTGTGTTTGTGGAATATATTAGAGTGAAAAGAAATTAAAAGAAAGGAACCAAACAGGTGACTGTTGCACTGTTTCTATAAGAGATTAGGGTCTACACTAAGGCAATACAATAATAATGGAAAAGAACATATAGAATTAAACACTGGAAATGAGAACCCATGATTAGGCAAAAATAAATAAATAAAGAAAGATTAATAGAGGAGAAGAGAGACAATAAGAGGAGGTAGGAGGGAAAGAAGAGGGAGGGGGAATGGGGATTAATATCAAATTCCTTACATGCGTGGTTTTGTCAAAATTAAACTAAATACTACATATAATTATAATGCTCTAATAAAAGCAACAACAAAGAAACAAACAAACAAACAAACAAGAATCCTTGATTAGGGATGGGAGTAGTGGCAGAAAGGGATAGGAAGGATGAGGCGGAAGAGGGAGTGACCGTGACTGTGGTTGGAAAAATAGTGATACCAAAACACCAAGAAATACTAGGCAAAGAAATAAGAACAGAGGGGAAAAGGAGGCAAGTGAAGGGACTATGTCTGCAGTTGGATGAACATCACTTAAAATCATCCTTATGTCATGCTAACAAAGGGTTCTACACCTGGTTGAGCAATGGAGTGATGGCGTCATCACAGCGATCTAAAATAAGTAGCAATGGAGGAACCTCTGTCCGCCGGAACTCAAACAGCTCATATTCTTTAGTTATTACTTGCTGTAGGTGAGAGAGAGAGAAGGTTTGAACAACTAATTAGCTGTAGATAGAGATGGTAAAAATAGAAAACTGATAAATAAAACCACTTTTAGCCATTCTTCATACCCTCATAGGCCTTCCATAAAAGGATTTTAAAACGTTACAAGTTTTTTTTTTTAATTTTACAAGTTTTGCAGCATACTATGTAAGAGCTTAAGACTTGAAACTCTACCAGTTGTTTATCCAAAAAGCTTGTGAATGTTTGTTAGGTTAAATCCAAACTTAGCTCTCATTTGTTGCTTTTTTTGTTTTGAATTATATATAGACATTCTTCTTTGCCAGTAAACCTAACATATCAACCTCCCCTTGGCTGTAGAGAAAATATTCCTGATGGTTTCTAAAATTCAAAAGGGAAATAAATGGCCTTGATGATTTGGAGCCAGGGACAGGGAATGCCATACCTTTACACATTCTGCCAGTCTCTTTGCTGCCTCTGATGAAAGCTGATAACGAATCATGGGACACTTCTTCAGAGATAAAAGAAGAGCTGTCAGTCCTTGAGTTGTTCTGGATAGTTGAGCTGGATCCCAATTTCGACCCTTTGTGTTTAAAACATACATTCTGAGAAAATATTTTATTTTTCTTACAAGTCCAATTTATTGCTGAATTAACTCCACCCAATAAATTATTTTTTAAATCCTTTCACTTCATACCTGACAGCAACCCAAAATATTGAGGGAAAACAAATGTGGATTCACAGCAATGTAATCACCATAAAATTCCTATAAATAAAGCATCAAGATTAGTCATTCCATGAATTCTATAAAGCACAAGTATTATATGTGCTAAAATACTATGATATGAACAAATGGTAAGACACAGGTATAAAGAAATATGAAATGTTCAAATAAAAATTGAGTAACAATAGTCAGTGTGATAGAATTAAAATAATTACAAACCACCAGCAACAATGATGAATTTAAAAAAACAAAAGTCACAGCAGTATACACATTATATTTCAGGAGACCTCTATACACATATCAATTAGTAAAATAAAACACTGCTATAGGATATACAAAGTTACACTCAGATTAAAAAGAGCTTTGCTGTCTAATGTATTCCCCCCCCCTTTTTTTTGGTACTAGGGATTGAATCCAGGGGCCCTTAAAAACTGAGTCACATTCCCAGCCCTTTTTATTGTAAGACAGGGTCTCACTAAATTGCTTAGGGCCTCGCCAAGTTGCTGAGGCTGGCTTTGAACCTTTGATCTTCCTGACTCAGCCTACCAAGCTTCTAGGATTATAGCCGAGGGCCACTCCACCTGGCTAATACATTCTCAGGAGGAAGAATATGATTTAAAATAGGTCATTTAGCTGGGCACAGAGGCACACACCTATAATCCCAGCATCTTGGGAGGCTGAGGCAGAAGGATTACAAATTCAAAACCAGCATCAGCAAAAGTGAGGCACTAAGTAACTCAGTGAGACCCTGTCTCTAAATAAAATACAAAATAGGGCTGGGATGGCTCAGTGGTCAAGTGCCCCCGAGTTCAATCCCCAGTATCAAAAAAAAAAAAAAAAAAAAAAGGTCATTTGAAAAATTCATTTATCAGCCAGGCATAGTGTTGCTTGCCTATAATCTCAGCAACTTGGGAGGCTGAGTCAGGAGGATTGCAAGTTTGAATACAGCTTTAGCAATTTAGTGAGGCTCTCAGCAACTTAATGAGACCCTGCCTTAAAATGAAAAATAAAAAGGACTGGGGATGTAGCTCCATGGTAAAGTACCTTTGGGTTAAATTCCCAGTACCAAAAATATAAAAAAAAAAAACAACTCACCTAGCAGTTCTTCTAAAAAATTCAAAACTAATTTATTTGCTGCCCCTGAAGACAATATTTTTCACTTAGGTGATAAATATATTCACACTTTTGTGATAAATGTATTTAAGAATACTAAAGTATTCAAGAAGGAAAGGTAATATAATATGTCCTAGTTTTTTAGTGCTGTATTATATAGCATGCAGAATGAATGTTTAGGAGTTTCCAAGTTTTAACCTAATGACAAAAGTCATCCATTACCTCCCAAAGAATAATAACCACAAATAGAACTTTTAGAAATGTCATTCACAACCATTCTTGTTATTCTCTTCCCATTAAGTACAGTCCTGTTGATGAACATTTTTATAGTGTGGTTCATAAAACTAACATAGGACATACTTGATTGTCCTCAATCCAGTGAAACTCTTCCTATCAATTCATTAGCCCTCTCTCCTTTTTACTTATTCCTTTAATTGTTCTTATCCAATTTGATACCTCTTCCAAACTTTCTGAATATAAGTAGAGTCTGGCATAGTTATTCCATCTAGTCAATAGCGTCCTAAATCGAGACAGCACCTTCCTTATTTTTATTTATTTATTTTTTTAAAAGTTTTTAGTTGTAGATGGACACACTATCTTTATTTATTGGTGTGGTGCTGTGGTTTGAACCCAGTACCTCACAAGTGCTCAACCACTTGCTAGGCAAGTGCTCAACCTCTAGGCTACAACTCCAGCTCACCTTATCTTTAGACTAAGATCTTTTAAAAGGGCCAAATAAGACAGTGTTACAGGACCAACATGTTTACCTGAACCTCAGCCACAACTTCCTGTTCATCAGCTTCAGCTAATGACTTCACATCACTCTTGCTGATCACATTACTGAAATCTGAAACAGACACATGAGTGTGCAAGATCATCTCTGCTGCAATAAGACATAAATGGGCCTGAGAGTTAAAGCTTAATGAACAAGCCATGTTTGATACATATTGTGGTATATGTCAAACCACACTGCTTCAAATTGGAATGAGAAGCATAAAGGTGTTTAAATGCATAAATTAATAACAGTACTAAAAAAGGAGGGCTATGATTGGTGGATATCAGGGAACCAAGTTATTTCACTGAAAATAACAACTAAAGGGAAAGAAATAAGCTCTTATCCTCTATTATATATAGACATTGAACCAAAAAAGAAACTAGGAAAGATTTTCTTTATGGAAATATTCCATCTAAAAAACAAAGAAAGAATGTTAATAATTAGAATTTCATCAATTTTTCCAGCCCCTAATGAATCAGTAGATGGATCTAAGCACTGTTTATCTACAGCTGCTAGTATCACAAGAAGAAACATCCAATGAAACTATACCACAGCACTTAATTATTCTTTCCAAAAGGAAACTGAGACATCTAAATAAGGCTCCATATCCACCTACAAATTTATAGGTACAAGGAAAGAAGAATATTTTGAATTGCAAGGAACATGTACAACTACCCCCGCAGGGATACAATCAGCAAGATTCAGGCTGAGGAAAAATTAGTTTCTTCAATAAATAAATTGAATGGAAGAGAGGGACCTATAGAAGATTAAAGAAATTCAACATATTGACCAATAGCAATATGTGAACTTTATTTTGATCCTGATTCAAACAAACAATGAAAAAAAAAGACATTAGAGAATTTGAAATTTGAACACTGAATGAGTATTTGAAAATATTAAGGAATTATTTTTCATTTTTCATTTGTCTAAAATGCTAGTATTTATAAAAATTAATCTATCTTTTAGAGAAGCATATTGAAATACTTATGGATGAAATGTATGATGTCTTAGATTTGCTTCAAAATAATATTGATGGAGGAGAAGGTGTCAACATAGCTAAAACAAGATTGGGCATGGCTCAATAATTGTTGAACCTGGGTGATGGGTACACTGAGATTTGTTATATTGTTATACATTTGAAAATTTTCATAATAAAAAGTTTTTTAATAAGAGGAAGAGCTGGTTATATAACCGATTTAGTAGGCCTAAAACATGCCAAAAAATGATAAGAAAAAAGATAAACAAAAGGACAGTTTAGTGTCAATATAAATTGTGCTAAAAATTTATAATGCATAAAATTCCAATAGCTGCCTATGTGGCACACATCTGTATTCACAGCAGCTCAGGAAGCTGAGGCAGGAGGATCAGGAGTTCAAAGCCACCCTCAGGAAAAAACAATAAGTGAGACCCTGTCTCTAAATAAAATAAAAAAAGGACTGGGGATATGGCACAGTGGCCGAGTGCCTGTGAGTTCATTGCCTGGTACCTTGCCCCCCAAAATTAGTAAAAAAATATATTTTAGTTTACTTTAACAAATCTATTTTTCATAGATTTAGTATTAACTAATATAATTTTTTTCTTCCACTTCATAGTTATGTCTTGAATTAAACAATCTTTAGAAGCAGAAGAGTAAATACTCTTTTTAAATTTTTAAAAATTTTTTAGGTGTAGATGGACACAACACAATGCCTTTACTTTTATGTGGTGCTGAGGATAGAACCTGGATCTTGCCCATGCTAGGTGAGCGCTCTAAGGCCAAGCCACAATCCCAGCCCTTTAGTAAATACTCTTAATTATCATTACTATCCTTAATCTCAATTGTTGCATGAAAGAACTCTCTTTACAGGATAAAATGGTCTTTTGTCACATGACCCCCTTCAATTTTTAGTAGAGTCTTAGTAAAACAGTATTTATATTATATATCCAATTAAATTTGGCAGCATAGAGAATATGAATATGTATAGATATTCTCTATGCTGCCAAATATATACATGGATATTACACACCCATACATACATGAATATATGTGGATATTTTATTTATATATATTAACAGAGGACCTAGCTTGTGATAAGACTAAAAAATGCTGAAATAAAATACAGAGATAATACCAAATGCCTGAGAAGATGCAAAGAAACCAGATCACCAGTATATTGCTAGTGGACATGTAAAATGATGTAGTTATTCTGGAAAATATTTGGCAGTTTCTTAAAACACTAAACACAAATAACTACCACATGACCCCGCAATTGCATTCCTAAGCTTTATTTATCTGAATAAATAAAGACTATGTTCACATAAAAACCTATATAAAGATATTTAAAGTAGTTTTATTTGTAGTAGTCAAAACTGGAAACAGGGAATAGTTAAATAAAATTTACAATGGAATACTACTCAGCAATAAAAAGAAACAAACTGCTGATATACACAACAACCTGGATGAATCTTCAGAGAACTATGCTAAGTGAAAAAAGCCAATCCCAAAAGGTTACATATTGTATGATTCCATTTATTCCATACTTTTGAAATGACAAAATTATAGAATGGAGAACAGAACAGTAGCTCCCAGGGTTAATGATGGGTTAAGGTAGGAAAGAAGTGGACATGGCTCATAAAAGCCCAATATGAGAACCTTGTGGAGACAGAAATGTTCTGTAACCTGAATGTATCAATGTTAATATGCTGGTTGTGATTTTGTACACAATATTGTCATGTAAGATGCTACATTAGGGGGAAATAGGTAAAAGATATATGAGATTTCTGTATTATTTTTAACAACTGCATGTTATCTTTGCCAGTTTTCAGCTGCTAATAACACAATACCTCAAACTGGGTAAGTTATAAGGAAAAGAAGTTTATTTTGGCTCATGGTTCTGGTCCAAAGATTAGGGCAGCATCTACAGATGGCTTTCCTGCTGGTATAGTCCTGAGGCAGTGCAAGGCATCACATGGTAAGATGGAGAGACCTAGCCAATCTAAGCTTTTAAAGCAGATCCATTCAAATCACCTCAATCACATAAATGGATCAATAACCTCTTAAAGTTTATATCAATTGCTTCTTAAATTTTCCTACCTTTTAATATCCTACTACAGCGATTAAATTTCAACATGAGTTTTAGAGGGGATAAATCATATTCAAATCATAGCACATGTAACTCTACAATTATTTCAAAATAAAAAGTTTAATTAAAAAAGGAAAGCTGCATGGGCAGTGGCCCATGGCTGTAATCCCAGAAACTGGGAAAGCTGAGGCAGGAGCATTTCAAGTTGAAGGCTAGCCTGGGCAACTTAGCAAAAAGTAAAATTGTCTGTTGGGGATATAGCTCAATGGCAGACAACTTGCTTAGCATTGGTGAGGCCCTAGGTTCAATTATCAGTACTGCAAATAAAGAAGAAAGAAGGAAAATTAGAAAGAAAGAGAGAGAGGACGAAAGGAAGAAAGAAAGAAGGAAAACCTGTGACTGTTAGCCCTAAACAAAACCTAGGATGAGAGACAAATAAAATAACCTATTTTTACCTCTTGGAATGTTGCAAAGAGCCAAATGAAATAAAATGATACAACTCTATAAAATATTTAGTCTTACTACAAATGTTAATTCTGGGTATCATTTTTTTCAATATTTTAGTTGTAGTTGGACACAATACCTTCATTTTAATGTGGTGCTGAGGATCAAATCGGGGCCCTGCACATGCTAGGCAAGCGTTGAGCCACAACCCCAGCCCCTGGGTATCATTTTTTAAAATACATACATATATTTTTAGTTGTAGATGGACACATACCTTTATTTTATTTGTTTTTATTTTTATGTGGTGACAGAGATCGAACCCAGTGCTTCAGGCATGCTAGGCAAGCGCTCTACCACTGAGCCACAACCCCGGCCCCCTGGATATCATTAAAGAAAATATGTATGCCTTGTAGTCTAAACCCTAAAATTCTAAAGCCTTTAAGTAATTTTTAAAACCTCTCAAATGCCCTGCTTACTATTAAGTAAGTTAAGTGAGTGTTATGTTTTGTTCTTGGTTTTGGGAACATTACCAAATAGATTATAGCTATCCTACAAAGATCAATAATGACATCTAGAGGAGAACAGATGAAATTTCCACAGCAGAATGTATTAGATCAGAAAAATCCATATGAATTGTATAGCAAACATAAACCTAGTTTACTTCCATAGTTTCCCTATGCACCCTCTACCTAAAAAAGGTATACACATAAGAGATAACTTCCTGATGGTTTATACTTTTATGAATTAGATAAAGTGGCAAAGAGAATTGGGATGTTTTCATCTGTACATAAAGAAACCTCTGGTTTTCCAACAAATTCAAGTATATTCTCTCCCAAATAAATAAATCAGTTTATATACCTCAATTCATAAGTGAAAAATAGGAATAAACATAGACTTTGTTTTGATGGAGGTGGGATATAAAATTTGGCTACTTACAACTTTTGACTTATTAAGCATCTTGAAAAGCAAATAAAACTTAAAATTTTTAGGGGCTGTGGTTGGGGCTCAGTGGTAGAGCGCTTGCCTAGCATGTATGAGGCACTGGGTTCGATTCTCACCACATAAAAATAAATAAATAAGATAAAGTCACAAAAAACACTTAAATTTTTAAAATCAAGGCAATCAATGAATGAAAACCATATTCAGTTCTCTGAAAGAGAATGCTGGTCACAATACTTATAATACTTTGATTGAAAACTAACTAAACTAGACTTTTATGGTGATGAATTCAAAGAACTTGATATGAAGTGTTCAGTGGAACATACTAGGGGGGATAAGTATACGATTGAAAAAGTGAATTAACATACTTACAAATAAAATATATACTGTATTTAGGTCTTCGAAGCTCCTGAATTAGATAATCCACATTCTCCTAGAAAATAAAGAGCAAGCAAATTATGAGGGGAGTTGCTTAAATAAAAAAATAACAAGTATTATCCATTTATTCATTGATTTTCTGAGAGCCTACTGTATGCTGAGGTTGAGACTGTGTGTATGTTGGGCAGTGAGGACTGGGCACAAAAAAAGAGCTACATTAAACATAATGATCAGAATCATACACATGATTTAATAGGATACAGGTAATATTAATTAATGTTAAATATTAATTAGCAGAATTATCCTGGCCAAATTAAGTTAAATATATAAAGGCCACGTATTAAAATACAACATAAAATTAATAATATTTCTTCAAATTTGCCTCAAGTTGCTTGTCTATAAATTATATTCATCTGATGAAAATTTCCACCCCAAACATCAAAATGCGTCTGGTCCTTCAACAACATTCAAGAGAAAATATAGTTAATTATATGCACTTTGGCTTTTAACTTACTGTACCTAAGAGTCTGAACAACAGCAATATTTGTAAATATTTGCAGCATCAGGCAAATACCTTTTCTATAATTGTATTATTTTAACATAAAATGAGTGTTACAAGCAAAAAATGAGTTATTTTTATGTGGTTGAAATATGAGAATTCCAATTACATAATATCAAATTGCATGCTTTTTTTTTGTAGTACCCATAGTTAAATTTCACTATAAATTAGGCCTCCAAAGTAAACATGATATAGAATTCCTGAATTTTTTAAAAATATCACATGAATATACAGTATTAAAATTAGTTTAAGAAATGCACATTATAGCTGGGAACAGTGGTGTACATCTGTAATCGCATCTGCTCAGGAGGCTGTAGCAGGATTTGAAGCCAACCTCAGAAATTCAGTGAGATCTTGTCTCCAAAAAAAAAAAAAACAGACTGTAGGGGCTGAGGTTGTGGCTGAGTGGTAGAGCGTTTGCCTAGCAAGTGTGAGGCTCGGGGTTGGATCCTCAGTACCACATAAAAATAAATAAATAAGATAAAGGTATTGTGTCCATCTACAACTAAAAAAATAAAAATTAAAAAAAAAAGACTGTAGATTGGAGAATGTAGCTCAGTGGTAAAGAGCTGTGAGTTCAATCTCCAGTACTGCAAAACAAAAAAGAAATGCATATTACTTATTAAATGGAAACAAGCTTAACTATCATTTAGACTTAAAATAAATTAAAAATTAATTTTATGATATAATCTTAAGAACAAACTGTTCTTAATAAAAATATTTTAAACCTAATATTACTTCCTCATAATATGCTAAGATAAAAATAACAAAGCCTGAGAGTTTGAGAGAAAATATAGAACTGTGAATGATATTTTCTCATTAAAAATGTAGGAAAATAATGAACTAAATGATCTCTAAGATCCCTCTCAAGCCAAAGTTTCATGAGTACAAATGTGAAACAATTGGAAACCACCATAACACAATATGTATTCATTAATTCAGCAGCTATTTATCGAGTGTCTGGTATGAGGGACATAAAAGTCAGAAAAACAGATAACATCTCTGCTGTCATGGAGCTTACTGCTAGTAGGTGAGACGGATATTAAGTAATCATTTATACCTCACAACTTCTATCATGACAAGTGATGAGAGAGGAAGATGGGTACTGGAAGTGCTTATAAAAGGGGTTTTACTTGGTCAGGAAGGCCAGGAAAGGTTTGTTTAGGGATGAAGAAGTTCCAGGCAAAGAGAAGAGACTATGCAAAGGTCCTCTGGCCTGATGAAACAAGGAGAAAGGCGTGAACTAAAAGATTAGTGTGGCTAAGGTGCAGGGTGTAAAAAGGGAAATGATTTGAAATGAGACTGGAGACAATGTAGGATTTAGACCTATATTGGGCCTTGTAAAAAAATAAGAAAGGAGTTTTGTTTTATCATAAAAGCAATAATAAGTCATTCAAAGATTTAAAATAGGGATGACATGATCAGATTTGCATTTTGGAAAATACAAATGTGATAAAAGTGCATTAGAATTTTAAGAATATGAATGAGGCAAGAGAATGTACAAACTGAGATTGAAATCGGAAAGAATTTTTAAAGGAGATACTCAAGCTAGATTTAGAAGCTGATAAACAAAAACTGACAAATGGCTAAAGATCCTTTGATTAGGGGAAAACAAACAAAGAAGGGACAGGAATGACCATGTCCAGGGATGATAAAAAGGCCTAGTTGGTTCGACTAAACGAAGAAAATCAGTACATAGAAAGGTAGGACAAGTAAGGGCAGACCAAACCAGCTGAAGGAGGACTTTGCTAAGCTACTAATCATGGAGATCAAATCCGTTTCCTGAACATAGACGTGAATGAAATGGTAAAACCTCAAGAAACTAATAGCTGTATATAAGACTAAATGGAAATGGTGTTCAGTAGTAAGTATGGAGGTCGGTCCAGGAATAAAGTGATGTGGGTCTTAGAGTTGCTTATGACTTTGGGAATACCTGTGAACCTAAACGATATCTTGAAATAAGAAGTAGCTGTAAGGGGTAAACTGAGCTATGGAAAGGAGAACAATGAAGGTTAGAACTCTTGACAAACCATGATAATTATGATGCCACAAATGATGATAATACAAATTTATTTTGCCTTCTTTGCTTTCAGAACAGAGAGTTGTGCATTTGCCTAAGCAGACAGCAGGTCGATTTACATAGTACCTTCGTAGGTCGAAGAAAACAAATTGCCTTCAGGTGTTTCATGATCTCTCGATTTTGAGAATCAATGCGTTCAAAAAGGTACACTTCCTTCTGAAGAATCTCAGATTGTGTGTACACCATACTCACTATGCCAGTCTGCAAAGAAGAAGAATGAACTAAGATTATGCTAGCTCAGAATAATGAAAACAAGCATCAATATCATATCTTTTTTTTCCCCACTAGTACGTAGGGTAATTTACACATTAACATATGGAAAAACATCCAAAAAGTATAGTAATGTATCAGAATGAAAAACACGATCTCTCTGAACACAAACAATCCATAAATTTCCAAAAATAATTTCTCCGTAGCCTTAGAGGTTTTCTTTTTTTTCCTTTTTAAAAATCTGTGGCCAACAAATAACCTGAGGCACCCGCCTGAGCCTGCGACAGCTTTATTTTAGAAGTGCAAGGCTGAGCGGAGATCCCGGGCACCCGAAGGTTCCCAGGGCTCTCCCAGGAATGACTTCTTGGCGGACAAAAGTCTGCGGGCAGCAGTGCAAGCCCTTTCACTGGAAACCCACTGTGCAGGCTTTATGCAACTTTTCAGTCCCACGCAGAACCGAGCCTGGGGATCTGCATCAAACACTGACCCCTGCGGTGAAAGGGGACCTTCTCAGGGAGGGAGGGTTCCTTCACCCACAAATACTGAGCCAAAGCACACTCACCGTCTCTCGGTCCATGAGAAGCACTTTCATCCCGGGCCCGCTGTCCTCTATCATTTTGGAGACATACTGCTTAACAGCGAAGACCACGTTCATGGTGGCGAGCTGACAGGTGCCCCGCAGCCCTTCCCGCCCCCTTTTTCTAGCTGAATTAACACCCGGCCTGTTGGCGGGGTCGCGGCGGCTTCCGCTAAGCCAGGCCTCGGCTTCCGGGAGTCCGGGCGGCCACCGCGTGGGGAGTTGTAGTTCCGCTGTCGAGTCCTGGCGGGGA